GTTGCGCTGAACCGGTATTTGTCCACCTACTTTAATCTGTACCATCCTCACTTGCCATTCCTGCACCAGGAATCCTTCAAGCCTTCCCAAGTCCCTGCACCACTTTTTCTTGCAGTTTTGTCTATTGGTGCTCTATACACTTTCGAGCGCGAGCACGCCTTCATGCTACACGTCGGCTCCAAGGTCCTGGTCAACCAATTCCTGCAACACAAGGACAACTTCGATTCCCGCAAGTGCCCCTTGTCATTGATGCAGGCTACTTTGTTGAACATGGTATTTGAGAGTTGGAGCGGTGACCCGAAGGGCCTTGAATGGACTTGCTCGATCAAGAGTCTCCTGGCCAACATGGTCGCCGGCAACCGATATCAGCTCAAGTTGCGAACGCAGGCTCGCCAGAATGTCCAGCCATCACGCGAGGAGTGGATTGAGGATGAATCCTGCCGTCGTACATATTTCGCCGTGTATATCTTCTTCGGCATGTTGACGCTCACATTCAACCACACTCCCGCCATGAGCTTCGATGAATTTGACGACTTGGAGCTTCCTTCTTCAGAATCGCTCTGGAACTTGGATGCGACTGATGATGAGACCTGGCGTCGTGGCACAGTCTCGAGCGCGTTGACTGTACGTGAGGCCCACGACTTTCTTTTCCAGGGCGAACAGACCCGCTACAGTGCTTTCGCCACTCGTGTTCTCATCAACGCCCTGTTCCTGCAAGTCTGGAGCCACAAGCGCAGCTTTGAGGCGCTCCAAGATGTGGTTACCGAATACAAGCTGCGCCTGGCGCTCGAGACCTGGGAGAACTCCCTTGACGTCTGCGAACCGGAAACAATCGTGGTCCCGCTTAGCACTCCCCAGAAGGGCCACCCCTTGATCTTCAATTCGATGGCGGTCTACCGCAACACCCGCGCCCGCCTGGAAGTTGACCTTAAGTCCATCCAGGAGGCAATGCGGTACCACTCCTCATACGAGGTGGCGGCTGCCATGACCGTCGCTCGTGAGAAGGTAAAGCGCTCGCAGGAGATGAACAAGGTTATCCAACAATGTTTCGAATGCATTGAGATTGCTGCCATCCAGGGCATCAATTGGGTTGCAAAGACCTCCGCTACCAACTGGAGCGTTGAGCACCCTCTCTGCGGCCTGGATCTGATGGTCATTCTGAGCCTCTGGCTCTACCGCCTGGAACATGACGATGAGCCGGCCACTGAGGCTGAATTGGCCCTCTACAATAAGGTCCGCAATCTATTTGATGACGATGCCATCGACGCCTTTGGCAAACTCAGTTCCACCGTCGCCCGTGTATGGGGTAATATCCTTGACGGCGTGGTTGTCTGGGGGTAAGTTTTTATCTCTTCTCACTCTGATGACCAAATAACTAACCGCTTAACAGAATAACCAAGTTGATGGGCGAATCATTCAAGCTCCACTCCCAGGCCCTAGTCGGCTACGAAGATTCTCTTCGTGTTGCCAAGGATCAGCCGATCCATGCGGTCCCAACCAAGTCGCTTGCTAGCGTCGGCACCGCATACTAAATTTTCTATTCTTCAATCTCTTTGAGTTGATTTGCTTTTTTCTCTGCTTTTTCTTGAAATTTCCATTTTTGATTTCTTACTCTCATTTGTTGGACGCTTTCATTGGGACACTTCGGATCAGGACTGGACATGCCAGTGGGCAGGCGGGGTGTTGGGCTTTTCTGGAATACTTCGCCTTTTGATATCCCTCTCGGTGGTTCCTAGTCTTTTGCTATTTTTTGCTATTTTCTTTTGCATTTCCCCTGTTCTTACACCAGGGAGTCCAGTGTGGTGTTTCTGCTTTCCGTCTTCGACACCTGGCTGGTCCTGTGTGTACTTTCGCACTCCGTGGAGTTTGACTTTATGGTTCATACTAACCCCTAATCGTGCCCCCCGTCCATCTGCTTTTTGTGCTTTCGATACCTTTTGATATTTCATGCGTTCGCGTTGCTTTCTTTTCATATCTTGCCATTTGCCTCTGCTTCTTTGGTTGGTTTCCAGCCGCTGTATTTGATGTTAATTGCCTGCGCGCCTTTTCAACCCCGTCTTTTGCTTTCTATGCTTTTTACGCTCAGCATTGCTTTGAAGATTTTCGCATTTGTTTCACCTGCACATGTTTTTATGCCATTTCTATGTACTATACGTTATCGATGAATTATCTGGCGGGGACAACCTCTTTCCTAAACACTATGTTGTAGACTTGAATTGTAGTTGTAGTAATAGGTAAATAACCATCTGTACGTAGGTAATATCCAGATCCGAAACAGCCATGCTTGCTGATAGTAATGTCAAAACTACTTCCCAACAGCAACAAACAATCGATCTCCAATATCCCCAATACCAGGTACAATCATGCCCTTCTCATTAACCCCCTTGTCAATAGCACCAACCCAAACCTCAACATCACCCCAAGTCCCTGCAGCACGCTTAACTCCCTCTTCTGAAGCAAGCAAGCTAAGCATAATAACCTTCTTCACACCCCAGTCGCGCAGCAATTGGATAGCCGCCTCGGCCGTCGCACCAGTAGCGATAACCGGGTCCAGCAGCACAGCCAGGCTTGCCGCTGCGGTGTTGGTAGTGGGATTCAAAGAAGCTGGCGAGGCCGGCGACAGTTCCGACCTGTGGAAGGGGAGGTTGTTGTAGTACTCTACAGGTTGGAGAGAGACCTTTTCGCGGAACAGGCCCAGGTGGTAGACTGGGACTGGGGTTGGGAGGAGGTCGTTTAGGGCTGCGGGGGGTTGTGTAAGCGGGGCTTGGACCCGTGGACGGGTTAGGAGTGGGGGATAAGGCTGGGGAGTGGGGAAATGGTGATAGGGAAATAAGCTGTAAATGCGAATGGAATTGCAACTGCAGTGCTTGGGATTGGATATGGGAATAGGAATTGGGGAATAGAAGAGTAATAAGGTAGCATTGCAGGGAGTAACATGGGTTACAGTTACAGTGCTGGCTTGAGGGGTTATGTGGAAGAGATGGAGATTCACTCACCATCAACCATTCCTAGGCCAGATCGGAGGATTGGCACTAGAGCTAGGTCTGCTGGGTCGATGCCCTGGGTTTCATACTCGATTCCCAGGGGGGTGGTGTCCTAGGAATGAGTGTTAGGAGATTTCATGCCAGTGTTTGATGGATCTCAGTCTTAGGCATCTATTTACCGTTCCTGTTTTGACCGACTTCAAGCCCGAGAAAGCTTCCACGCCTAGAATGTTGGCAATGTCGTGCACTAAGCCTCTTGTCTCGCGCGGGGTGGTTGAAGCTGAGCGGATTAGGGAGAGCTTGGCTTGGAGACAGGGGTGGGAGGAGACGTGGACATTTGGTGGGAGAGACATAGTGAAGTGTGGAGGAGGTTATGAAGAGAGGAGGGGAAGCAAGAAGAAGAAGAAGAAGAAGAAGAAGAAGAAGTAAAGACAACCTTCTGTTATCTTCCCCTCATTTACAAAATGACCAGGCGCTAATCTTATCGGACTCCACCTGATCTCCGGTCTCCGATTTCTTGGCCTTTTTTCCCCTTTCTCCTACTTTAACCCTTGAACGGCAATGCCATCAACTACCGAAGAGGGCAATCCTTCAAGATGCGCCGATCCTTTAGGAGAGGCCCAACAAGCGAATCCAAACGAATCATGGCCAAGCTCGTGTGACCGCGTAGCACCTGCACCACCTGCATCTGCTGCGCAGCCCCTCTCTAAACACGCAACCCGCATCTACACCGTCTCCTATCTAACCTTCTTTTCGCTCCTGGGCACATTGGCCCGCCTAGGCCTACAGGCACTGGCGTTCTATACAGGTGCTCCCGTCGTGACAGGGGTACTATGGGCGAATGTAGGCGGAAGCTTGGTGATGGGGTTTCTGAGCGAAGACCAGAATCTATTCCGCGAGGAGTGGGGGCAAGAACCCGCCAAAGAACAAGCTACGGACGCAGTCGAGATGGAGCCCAAGACCAAGAACAAGAAACATCTGGCTGTGAAGAAGACTATCCCGTTGTATATTGGTCTAACGACCGGGTTCTGCGGTTGCTTCACCTCTTTCTCGTCCTTTATGCGGGACGTCTTCCTCGCCCTAGCAAATGCCCTCCCCGATCCGTCGCTGCCTACTGGATCCCACATCGCCCCCCGTAATGGTGGGTACAGCTTCATGGCGCTGGTCGCTGTGATTCTACTTACCGTGTCGCTGAGCCTATCGGCGCTTATCGTCGGCGCGCATCTTGCCCTGGCTCTAACGCGTGTGACACCCACCGTACCCTTCGCGTTCACGCGACGAGTCCTCGACCATGTTGTGGTATTGCTTGCCTGGGGATGCTGGCTCGGAGCTGTGTTCCTGGCCATCTGGCCTCCAGACCGACATAATGGCCCGGATGTGTGGCGCGGCCGGGCGGTGTTTGCCCTTGTATTTTCGCCGCTTGGCTGTCTCCTTCGGTTCTATGTCTCGCTGCACCTGAATAGCAGGATCCCGACCTTCCCACTCGGCACATTTGCAGTTAATATCTTTGGCACTATCATTGAGGCTCTTTGCTATGACTTACAGCATGTTAGTGGCCTTGGAGCGGCGGTTCCTGCTGCTCTGACCGGTTGCCAGGTGCTGCAGGGTGTTATGGATGGATTCTGCGGGAGCACGACTACTATCAGCACTTGGGTCGCTGAGTTGAAAGGACTGGCTCATCGGCGCCATGCGTATTTGTATGGAAGTGCCAGTGTGCTTGTCGCACTTGCGTTTTTGGTTGTTATCATGGGTTCGTTGTTGTGGACGCGTGGATTTGCCGAGCCTGTGTGTGGATAGAGAGCTGGTGATGTATGATATAATGTAAACTATAGGCAAGAGGATTCAAAATGATAATTATACATATAAGAAAGACGGGAATAGCCGAGTTGACATCAAAGGGCATTCCCTACAGACAACATCAAAATTACCCCAAAGCATCAACACCAACCCAGCGCCGTCATTCCCTTCCTAGCCTTCATACAACATAACATATAGCATCATCTTGTGCCTCAACACCTATTCCCGACTAGGCGCCGGCCCAATCTCAACAAGCGGACCACTCCCACCCCCGAACCTCCTCGCCGGACTCGCCAACCGAAACCCATCACTCAAAGGACCCTGACTCAAACGCCTTCCCCCCTCCCACGCCATCCCGACGATAGACTCAAGCGCAATCCCACCACCAACCCGACTAACAGAACCAGCAGCCCTACCCGCAAGCCCGCCACTCCCAAGCGGACTAGCAGGACTAATAGGACTGAGCATAGACTGACCAAGCGGACTTCTGGTCTGCGACGTGCTCGAATTCGCCTTCCCAGCAGCGTACATCTCCATCCCGTGGACTGGTAGCTCGGCACGGTTCTCGGGCATGGCGACGCGATCGAGCATTTTTTCTTGCACGGCTGTTGAGTCTTTGCTTGGACTTGGGTTTCGGCCTGCTGTCACGGAGGTTGTTGTTCCTAGCGCTGGGTTTTTGTTGCGGAATGGTTTGCGGCGGGCGAGGTCTTGGGCGTCTAGGCGGGTTTGGGATACTGGGGTTGGTTGTTAGGGGGATAATGTAGGTTTTGGTCACAGTTGGTCTTATGCTGAAGAGGGGTTGAAGGTGTATGTATGTCTTTTGATCTGTACAGCCATAGACAGATCATAGATATTTGTACCGAATAGAGGGGTATGTGTTGAAAATGGGAGGATAACTCACCACGCCAGAGAGCAACATATGCACCCATAACCACTATGCAGAGAGATAAGAAGCCGAACATTAGCCCTAGCTCGTGGCCTAGCGAGGGCATCGGTATGTAAGGTGGGTATTCGTCTGAGGCCATGATGAAGGTCTATAGTATTGTTGTCTTTGGAGTCCAGTGTAGCGAGGGTATATACCAACATACCAACTCCTATAGGAAAGAAAGAATCTCTCTTTCTAATGGTATTTCGAAGATGGTGCTTGATGAAGGGGATCAAAGAAAATATCCCAATCTCAATGTGGAATGCAGCGCAGGAATCTGACAGCTCCCGAGCCTCCGCTTTGCCTTGGTAATGGGCTGTTTTGTGTCCTACACAGTCCAAACGGAAAAGAGAAAGAAAAAGGGGGGGGGGGGGGGGGGGCTTTTCAAACGTTGAA